AATGTAACGACCAAAATTTCAAACAAAATTTAAACTTTTCAAAAACATGTCAATTCATTAAATTATTACAAAAATGTTTTCAATACATTTATTATCAGAGCATTCCCATATCCATATAATAAAACAGAAACGCGAGGAGCGGTACGATCACGCATTCGCCTTGCCACGGTCTCTTGAAGAACCTGAAAAACATTAAACTACAACTGTAAGCCCGAAAGCTTAGTGAGATACCCCCAAAATACCAACCACATATACCATACACATAACACGCTATATCATAACGAATCGTAGAACAGTCGTGCATATTGGGTCTACTGTGGGACTGGTCCGCCGTGTCGGGCCTTCAGTCCACCTAGTCCACCCTCCGAGTCCAGTCATGTCCTTCGAGTCTGCAGTGTGGTTGGTCCGCCCGTACCGGGCCTTCAACCCACCTGGTCCACTCTCTGAGTCTACAGTATGACTGGTCCGCCCGTATTGGGCCTTCAGTCGGCCTAGTCCACTCTCCGAGCCTCGGCATGTCTGGTCCGCCCTCGTGGGGCCTACAACCTATCCGGACCGCTCGCTGGGCCTTCGGAACAACCGGTCCGCCGTGGGTATCTTGGCTTACAGCACAAAGCAGGACCCGCCTCAACCTAACTCCAGTCCAAATAACCATGTGCACATAACATACAATCATATAACAGTTTATAGTCCACAAACCGATCAAACAGATCACATAACATATCATTACCCTAACCAGGATACCGACCTAACCGGTCACTAGCATAGCATCACTCCTCATATCGGGAAATCGACCTTAACCAAGTCTCTAGCATATATCATCCTAGCTACCAGGATGCAGACATATCAAAGCAATAACATAATAACCATATTCGAATCTCAATCCAATAAAGGGCCGGCCTTGGTGCCTTAGACCATGTCGATATAGTGAGGATAACTCACCTCGCAACTGCTGACTGAAAGGATAAGATCACGCTGCTGCAACCCTCGACCCGAACTCCAACACTGTCAATACCCAAAAGACTGAATCCAATAAATACCAATAATTACCAAATTACCCCTAGAAGTCAACTGGTCAACCCTTGGTCAAAGTCTACCCCTGACTGACTCTACTCGCCGAGTCAACCCGATGACTCGCTGAGTCCCCATACACAGAACCTCCTTCTATTCGCGACTTAACTCGCCGAGTCATCCCTTGACTCACCGAGTCACAGCCTTCCCAAAAGAAACTTGGACCCTACGACCAGACTCGCCGAGTCTACGACCATCTTCAACCTACTCGCCGAGTTGTTCTTCCAACTCGCCGAGCCCACCCATGTGACTCGCCGAGTACCACCGGGTCTGAATCCATACAGAGGCTTTCCAAGCCATGCAGATGATCCAAACCATAGATCTACCCCTCCTAAGGCCATCCATCACGTAAAGTGGCAAACTTTACGTGAATCCAAAGAGATTTAGGCATTTTACCCTCTAGGGCTAGGGTTTGGGATATGATGGCTTCACCAATCACTCAAGAACAGGGACTTTAATGCACTTAAGACCTTCTCCACTCCAGATTTGAGGTAGCAACCTTAGATCTATTCTTCAAACTCAAGATACCACAAGCTAAGCCTCCCATACATTCCAAGAATCATGAATCTAGAAGAATAAGTGAATAACAGCCCAAGAACGAGATTATACCTCAAAATGAAGCCCCAACAGCAATGAAATCTGAATCCAAGCAAAGCCCCTTGCTCCAAGCCTCCTAACTCCCCAAGATCTTCCTTCAAATCTCTTTTCCAAGGTTCAAATGCACTCCAATCCTTCACACTCGCGTTTTCTAGGGTGTTCTGGTCTCAAGGGAAGGTAAGGAGACTAGGAAGAGGGCATAATGTCCTTTATATAGGACTCATCCTCCGAAATTAGGGTTTTCTCCACTCAGTACCAACTCGCCGAGTCTAGCCGCCGACTCGCCGAGTTGGCCACTTAACACGCGACCAAAATCGCGACCATACTCGCCGAGTCCACCCATGGACTCGCCGAGTTGCCCTTCAAATTTACACTTTTAGCCCTTCAGCTCTACTCTTGATATTCCGGGATGTTACATTAAAATCGGATTGACCCGTTTTAATAGGGTTTGGATAGTTGGATACAAATAGCGAACACCAAAACAACGAGCCGTTTGTGGTTTCTTCACTGTTTTTTAAATATTTAAACTTTGTGGACATCAAATTATTGGTTTTATATGTTTATGCATTATGCATGAAAGTAAAAATATATAAAAATAGAAAAAGAGCATAAACCGGGTTGAACCGGTTGACCCGTGAATCGATCATCATACCGGGTCAACCAAAAACCCGGGTTTTAAAACATTGGTTGTATGCCGAAAATATACTTCATATTCCGAAAAGGTACTTTATGCATTAAGACATGAAATTTAAGTAGATAAACATATAAAACTAAACTAGTTTGTGGAATCTATAGATTTTTTCAAAAAACAAAAAAAAAACAAAAACAAAAAAAACAAAAAAAACAAAAACAAAAAACAAAGTTTGAGTTCCTATTTTTTAGATTTTTCATAAAAATGAAAATGAGTCGAGCTACTCGTGAGATAACCAAGCTCACGTCATTAAGTGCTCCAGATGAGCTAAGCCTTAACGAGTTTAAACCCGAGCTTGAGCATTGACGACTCTGAACCTGAGCTCGAGCCTAGTACAAAATCCATTTAATAAACAAGCTCGAGCCTCTAGGTAAGAGCTCATTTAAGCTAGCGAGCTTTAACGAGTTTTTGTAATATATATATATATATAGTTTAAAATTACATAACGAGTTCAAATGTGTCGTTAAACAAGCTAAAAGGTCTATTACTAAAAAGTCGAGTTTTAGCTCGTTAAGGCTTCACGAACAAACGAGCATTAACGAGTTGATCTCGAACTTCATATAAGCTTCACAAGTTGGTCTCCAGCTATACACTCCATGCCCAAACTAAGTTCGAGCTTCTACAACTTCAAACGGGCTTAGTGACGAAGATAAAGATTTTGAGATGGGGTATAAAGATGGTCGAAATTCAAAATAATATTTATATAAATTACTTAGTATTTAACTGCTTTAGGTTTAGGAGTGCCGGCTCCAGGCTAGAGAAAAGATAGGCTAGTATTTGAAGACGAGACCATTTCTACAACAAAGTTTACTTTTAGGATGAAATAGTTATAAAATATTTGATTGAGAAGTGCAATTTTTTGTAAAGCATAAAGCCTTTCTTTTTTTTTTTTTTTTTTTAAATTTACTCTATATTTATAAATTATAAACAGAAAGTTTTTTTTTTAAAAAAATTGTCCAAGTAGATTTAATAATGATCTTATTTTGAACGTATCGACCAGGTCTATTTAATAATGATCACCAGCCTAGCTGGTTGTGATGCATCCTGGGTTATAGGCCTCAGTGGGTGAGGTCAAGAGTTCGATTCTTGGCTGAGCACATTTGAGGGAATTTTCTTGGATTGGAGTAAGTTCGATTCTTCGTTCCCTTTGGTGGTGAGTGGTGCCCCTTTTGGTAGCCCGTCAGACATTCCTGATCCATCGGGTCGGGTTACCCTCTATCTATTTGCCGGTTCAAATATATATATATATATATATATATATATATATATATATATATATATATATATATATTGTTATAAAATATGATCAAATAACAAGATAAATTATAGAGTAAAGAAAGACATGAGAGTAGAGAGAACTTTTATTCCAATACTTGTGATGAAATTATCAAGTTTCTAATACATATGGCTCACTATTTATACTATCCAAATAAGAAGAAAGATGAGATATAATATGAATGCACATTATGATGGTGTATTATTACATTCATAAAACACATTGAAATGGTTGTTACTAATGCTAAATAATGATGGAGAGTTATGAGAGAAATGGAGAATCCAATGGTCATTCACAAACTAATATTTCATAACACTCCCCCTTGAATGACGATTGTATCATGCCTCGTTAAAACCTTAATAGGTAAAACCTCATGGGGAAAAACCATTTGTTAAGGAAAAAGAGTACATGATTAATAATAGATATTTGGAACAATTGCCTCGTTAAAAACCTTGCTAAGAAAACCCAGTGGGAAAAACATAGCTAAGGAAAAGAGTACAATGTGTTTCCAACTCCCCCTGATCATCACATCACTTGATTTTCTTAAAGCGTCGCATTCCAATATTTTGTACCATGTTTTCAAATTTGGATGTTGTCACACCCCCGAACCAGACGGCGGAAACGTCCGAGGGCTATCGTGACTCATTGAATACCATCACAATGCATATACATGAAACATAACATTATACATCACCAACATTTGGAATGATACAACTGGTAGTGTTTACATTCATTACATTGTTCAAAACATTACATTCTCAAAAAAAAATAACTGTTTGATACTACTTAAACTACAGCAAAACGTCATAGAGTACAAATCATCCTTCACCTTATCTGTTACCTGAGAATACAAGTATTTTGAAAACGTCAACATATGAAATGTTGGTGAGTTCATAAGTAGTGTTTGAAATCCAATGTATTGTTTGAAAACCATCAGAAAATCCGATATTTTCTAAAAATAGAATAGTGTAAAAATATGTGATGATCCATGAGTATGCTTGTTTGAATTCTATGGATGTAAGCGTAAGAGTTGTGAAATTCGACCGGTAATTCATAATTGTACTTGTTGAAAACCCTAGGAAAACCCGACGTTTTCCTATCACTTTGCTTTACTTAGTTTGTGTACCGTTGTTTCGTTGCGTTAGAGGAAACCGTTGAGCTCCGGAGGCATTGAGAATACAGTGGGTGGTGAAGTGCTGTGACATGCGTTAATGAAAACGTCTAATCGACAACCTTACAAGCGATCCCTTAGGCGTCACTCGTAATTCTTCACACAACTCAATCCTCCCGGACTTGTGTAGTCCCACGACCGGAGGGAAGAAGAGAAGGTGC